CAGCATCCCCTCAGTGACCGCGTCCGGCCGCCATGGCGTCCACGGCCCAGACGTCCGAGCCCGAGATCCCCGACAACCACCGGGAGAGCTGGCAGGCGCTGCTGGCGGCGGCCGAGGCCTACGGCCAGAAGTCCGGCTGCGACCTGGCGCTGCTGACCGCCTGCAGGCGCTTCCGCCCGTCCGGCGGCGGCGCCGGCGGCCAGGGGGGCGGCGAGGGCGGGCCGGCCTTCCCCCGGGAGTGCGACTTCTCCTACGGCGTGTGGGGGCCGGGCTTCCTGGCCGAGTCGGCGCGGCGCTACGTGGACGACATCGGCGTGCTGCACTCCACCACCATGCTGACCGCCCAGAGGCACACGCGCCCGGCCGGACAGGAGGGGGGCGGGGCCAAGCAGCCGCCGGCGCCGGTGGACCTGACCCCTGACCCGGGGCGCAGAGGGGTGAGTGGCGGCCGAGTGGCGTCCGTCCGGTGTCCGTCCGGCGTCCATCCAGAGCTCAGACCCTATGTTTGTTTATGTTTATGCATTTGGCAGATGCTTTTATCCAAAGTGACTTATAGAGTAGACACAATATTACATTTCTCATCACTATGACAATAAGCTATACAGAGGAGAAACACTGATCAGAGTCAGTGGTGAGATAGAGATAGAGGTAGAGGGACTACAGAAGGAGCTGTGGGGGGGTAGAGGTACGGGTTAGGGTTAGGATAGGAGCTGTGGGGGGTAGAGGTACGGGTTAGGGTTAGGATAGGAGCTGTGGGGGGGTAGAGGTACGGGTTAGGATTAGGATAGGAGATGCTCTTTGAAGAGGGGGGTCTTCAAGAGTTTCCTAAAGACAGACAGGGACTCTGCTGTTCTTGTAGCTCGGTAGGTCGTTCCTCCATCTTGGAACGACACATTAAACAGTCTGGATTGTCTTAAGCTGGTGAAGGCTCTGTTAGACCACAGTCCACTGATGACCGGAGTGATCGAGTTGTGACATGAGCCTTTGCAAGAGGATTCAAGTAGAAGAAGTAGACCCTTCCGTTTTTTTGGCGTTGCAGAACTTCCCGGGCGACGGCGGCGTGGGCGGGGTCAGCCCCAACGGCCGGCTGTACTCCCAGAGCTACCCGTCCATCTACAGCCCGGGGACAACGGCGGCGCCGGTGGGCGGTGGCGGCGGCGGGCAGAACGGCAACGGCGAGCGGGAGAGGAGCGGGACGGAGGCGGAGCGCGGCCGGCAGAGGGCCGGGATCCT